AGCAAAAAAATAATTTTTTTTTTCTAGCGCACTTTCCCGTGGGAAATTTTTTCATTCTTTCTTCTTTGACGTGACCTTTCATAATGGGATTTGAAGTGAGTTGAAGATAAAAGCAGGCAAATTGTATTGTTTTAGGTTTGAAAAGTGTTGATGGCTTTTTCATTGAAATTAATCGCTCTTTTGTCGTCCTTTTAGATGGATAATGTAAATATTTAAGTCATTATTGTTGGATACTATCAAGGTTGAATCAAATTTGAATTTGCGTAAATGGCCTTCTGCCTTTTGTAGAGATGTTTCTTGATAGTCAATTTATTTTAGATTGAAATTCTTTTTACTTTGTTAAAACAAGGCTGAGTGATCTGGTGCTTGTTTTAAGTGAGATGTGGGTAGTTTGAGATGGCAGATTGTCATGTTGTCTGGCTTTTGTGAATTTTAGCTTAGACTTTAAATTTATTTTGCTCTTTATTGAACTCTTATTTGGAAGAAATGAATCTAAACTTTGTTCCTGACTAAGACAATGGCTTTTGCAGGCACTAGAGGCTTGATCTATAAAGCTATGAGCTGTTTACATCAAGATTTACTCTCCATCAAGTCTTATTTTAATACAACAACCTTAAACTCACACAAAATTTAACAAGAATCCCTTGAAAATCCTCACCACGTGGACATAAATTCTCTCGATTCTTCCACGTCTTAAAACCTTATTAATGCATCATAATAATATCAACAAGCAACATAATGTTTTTCATTACTTAGTCACATGACCATTAATTCAAGCTTTAACCCAGATACTGTATTTTTCGGACCACTCATAGAGAAGATCTCTTTTTTTTGTTGATTACAGAGGATTCAGTAAATAAACGTGTTATTTACTAAAGCATCTTTCATCATAAAAATACATCATCATTTCTTTTATGACATGGAGTAGAAATTATTAAGATGAGTGAGGATGAAGCTCTCTTGTAAGATTGTGGAAAGTTGTGAAATTGATGTTAGAAATTTTTTTGGTCAATTTCATTGAAAGTAAAAATTTGAATCAACTTTGAGGTCTATATTAAGATTGAATAGATATTAACATCATTTTTTGAGATTGCTGTTCATTTGAACTTCCATATTATCCTCTACATTGTCTCTATTATCAGAACTTCTTATCAACTTCAAATCCCATCACAATTTCCATCAATAGTGAACCAATTGAATTCGGATTGTTATAAAATGTTGTCGATATCATTCGAAAGTTTTACAGCTTAATGACATAAAACTTTTTAAAGTTTAGAAGAAGAATAAGAAGGAAAAAATCGTCTAACGATTTTCGATTGAGCTTAAAAATTATTTCTAATTTGAACGTAAAGTTTTTGTTGTTTAATTAATGAATATTGTAAAAATAAATTTTTTTTGTGCAATAAACACATCTAAATAGATTCTAATTTAATAAAATTGTTGGCTGCTCCTCGTATGAAAAATATGAAATTTTGCTAAAAATTAGTTTTTAAAGCTTTTTAAAATTTTTTTTTTGTCGTGTCATTGATTGAAGATTTTTGAGGCAAATCTCCAACCATTGTGTGATAAAATATGAGAGAAAAAATGCGCTGAAGTCGTCAAGAATTAACGATGACAACTCAACTAAAATTAATTAAAATTTTTCTTTTCATCGCTTTTCTTTTAAAGTTTTTGTATTATTCATAAATTTTATTATTATCATTTTTTTCAAATTTATTCTGAATCATGATAATTTAGAAATTATTTCTTCACTATCATTATTCTTTAATCCTTTATGTGTCATGAGTATTGTGAAATAAACATAAAAAGAAGAATGAGTTTTTGTGTATAATTGTGTGTATATGGCTTTGCTATTCTTCGTGTAAAGTATATAATATGAATAAAGTTTCGCGATTAGTGAAGCTTATCTTATAGTAAGAATATAATAATGTGATTTTATTATTATTATTTTTTTTTTGCTTTGTAAAGATCGAAAAGCATTATCGTAGCATAATATAATATAATTATATAGAAAAGAATTTTCTTTTTCAATAAGCAACAATTTCATAAAAAAAAACTCAAACAAAAATTCAAAAAAGTTAACAAATTTCTCCTTTTAATTGGTTTGAAAATTGCTTCTTGAAGTTTTAAGGGTTCTTGTAGTTCTGTTGAGTTATGTTTTAGGATGGAGGAGACCGGGATCTCTAAAGTATCTAGTCTTACATGGCCGAGTTATTTATCAACCCCGGGTAACATTATCTCTTTAAAGACGTGGGGTTGATCTTATATAAAGTTAACAAAGTTGCAATCTGTTTTCACACGATTTGATGAAGGCTCTATGATGCCAATCAGCAGAATCATGGGCTACGAAGTGAAACTTTACTTATAAATTAGTAATTCCTGACATAAAAATCACTGACTTTTGTCATCATCAGAAATCCACATTGTCAAAATTTGAACTCAAAAATCAATCTTAGAACCCTAAAATCTATCCAAAATAAAATCCTCAAAACCTCAAAGCTGTTTTAATAATATTATTCAAAATATATTTAATCAACAACTGTTTTTCATAAATTGCCATTTTTCCGAAACTCATTTCCGTTCCAATTTCCAAGAAAATCACAATTTAACAGAAACTCAGAAATTCCTCACAACTTGCAAGCATAACAAGAACACAAATGTTTTTCACGATATTGAATGAAGCCAAATTAATGAACCGTTGAAACGTTCTCCTTATCTTCTTTTGAAAAAACGAAAATTTTAAGCATATCTGCCATCCATTCATGAGTTTCGCATAGATTCCGATGAATGAGATGCCTTTAGAGAAAAAAAGGATAAGATATATACACTTGGATATGCTAATATTTTTTATGCATGATCATTCTTGTCAACATTCCTGATTACAGTTTTTCACTCTATGTCCTAATGATAGCACATTTGTGCTTTATTGTGTGAGCTTTCTCACTATCAGCGCTATTTTAATCGCTTTATTCATTTGCACGAAAGTGCAAGCTATTCGTATAAGACACAGCTGATTTATGTGTTGTTTCTTGTTCCGACGATTATTTTTAATGACGGTGGAGATACGAGTGCATATTTTTGGACATGAACATTGAATAATTAGGTGAAGACAATTTGGGGTCGATACTACTGAATAAATTCTCGATTTTCTTCTCTTGTCAATGAATTTAATATGAAACCTCTTGGGTAATTGATGTCATTAAAGTTGACACCAAAATTACTTTTTTTTGGTTTATTTATGGATGACATTTAAATGAAAAATTAATTTAATTTCCTTCATCGATCAAAGAATGGTCGAGTTTAGAATTTAGAGCTATTTTAAGACAATATATTTTAAATTCGGATTTTATTGCAACCTTTTAATTCTTTTGGGGTATTTTATTCTGTAATGGATCCTTAAAATAGTATCTTTGAGGTTTTTATGATGTGTGAATGAAGTGTTTAATGGATCAATAATAAGGTTGTGATGGTTTTTGAGCAAGATTAGAAGAAGTTGGTCTTAAAATTATTTTGAATGTTTGTAACAGTTTTGAAAAATTTGAATTCAGACTTTAAAATTGAAATTAAAGATAGAAAACTTCAAAATCCTTAAAGTCATCAGAAAATAGTGTAAAAACCACCACCATGAATTTTCAAAGTAGCATCAACCTCCATCAACATCCACTAACCTAATTAGAAACTTCAATTAAACAAAATTTTCATATCCAAGTACAATAATCTCCACAACCATAAGTAAACTATGCTGTGAATCGTCCATAAAATATACATTTTTATAGCTTCGAAAAATCAATTAAAAGAAATGTTAATGATAATGAATCACATAATATGGAGAGTATTGAATGGAGAAGAAGAAAAAATTAGAGTATTGATGTCAAAACCAAATGAAATAATGTTTGTACAATGATACTGGAGTATGTCATTATCTTTTACGAGTAGTTGTAAGGTTTGTGGTCAGGGTTGGAAAGGATTTTGGGTTTTGCATAAGATTGTTACTTTGCATTTTGTTAGATTTGTATCAGGTAAGTTGTTGGATTAGTGATCCAAACTTACTTTCATAACTATAGAATTTAAGGTTTGAAATGTTCTCAAAAACATTGCTTTGAGCATAAGAAGAGCGAATATTTAGATTCTCTTCAGCTTTACGCCGGTTTCACATTAAGATGTGTCTTTTTATTTGAAGATTAACTCCAACTGGATTCTTATTAGCATTAACTTGATAAATGGATCCGATTTCAATCAAAAATAACTTAATGATTTAATTACTAGATTCTAACAGGATCAAACTTCAAAACTAGAGTAAACTATCTTTTGACGTGAATATAAAGTTCAATTTATGCATATTAATTCAATAAATAATTTTAAATAGTTTATCTTGACCCAGTTTTTCCAACCCTGATTTATACGCTTTTAATTTGCTTTCATAGTAATCGAAGTTCTTCGTCCATAAGAAAAAGAAAAGTAAGTAACTTCATAATAATAATGATAATATAAATGTTTCTTGCTTTTATCGTTTATTTATTTTGCTTTCATTCTCTTTCGTATTATTATTATTTTTTTAAAACAGTTTGTCTGTGCATTTTTACACATCTAGAATGTAAACTTTATGAATTCAGAAGCAATATATGTATGTATATATACTTATATTCATTGTAAAATATCTTCTAATCAATTATTGTAACTTTTATTTAGAATTCAAAGGTTTGAATGAATGTTTTTTTTTCTTCATTTTAAATTTTTTTTCACTTCTCTGATTTCAAATTTTTTTTAAACATTTTTTTCATATCATTTTTTTTTAACTTTCATCACAGTGGATTTTTTGCATTTTTATACTCATATATATTTTTTTTATAATTAATCATATATTTATCAAATATTTGCGATGTAAGGAAAAAGTGTTTCATTAACTTTTTGTCATAGTTCAGCACTAATGGAGTTTAAATATATCTTGCTAAGATTTTTTTTTGAAATATTTCTAATATTCTTTTTTTTTGAAATTAAATTGGAATTTTTACACAAAAAGTTGAAAGAAAAGTCAGATCTACTCGTATACAAATAAACAAAAAAAAAATGAGAAATTTTTTGAAGTAGGATGTGAGAATAATTGGGGTGATATATATTTATAAAAGCAAAACTAATGATTAACAATAATTTCTATTAATAGCTAAATATCTTTTGGAAAAATCGTAAATATATATTTTTTAAATTGAGGAAAATATTCGTTATTAATTATATAATCCAGGCGTTTCCACGGTGCATCAGATTGGAAAATTTTCTTAAAGGCAATGGACTCTGATGGTTCATAATATAATTTAATTAGTGCTTGTATCTAAGCAATTTGTGAGATGAGCTTGTCACTAGACAACCTTTGTGTTATTTTTAAATCCAAGAGTCATCCTTAAAGCAATCTTCTATGTTCAAAGAAAGCCACAAGAAATATCTTTTTAAATATAAATTTTCAAATGTTTTGAATTTTCTTAAATCGAATTCTAACCCAAAGAATATAAAAAGTAAACTTGATGTTCACTTGAAAGTTTTTATATAAAAACCACAAACCAAGTCAATTTTTGTTCGGTCAGAGTAGCCTCAAGGGTGATTCAATCAATTTATTTTCTAAATTATTTACAGATACTTGATTTTGAAAGTTAAAGCAAAATTGTAATGTAATAATATGTTGATGGCTATCTTATTTGAGATGAAGGTTGTAAAATTGAATTTTTGAGAGCATTGACATCAAGATTTAGTAATTATCTTTAGTTAAATGTGTAAAGAAAGGATGTATAAGTTCACTTTGAAAGGTTAAAATTCAAACAATGATAAAAAGTTGATTTCCTTGGGAAGGCTTAACCTGGGGATAACTTAATTGCTATTACAGTATAGAACTTAGACCGCGTTATCAAAGTTTCAATGTTTCGGGAAATATTTGTCTGCGTTCTATTCAGGTTTAGTAAATACATGCCTTTAGAAATGAATCTAGCTGCATCATCCTATATTTTTGATGTGCCTTAAATAAACAAGCAAGCTCTAAATCCAGTTTCTTTGTTTAGCTTCAAAACTTTACGTCCCAATAAGTCATGAGAGAATCATACAAATCAATAAACTTTCATTGACTTATGATTATATATATAGGTAACCTTACTCTGTTCTCATCTATTTCCTATATTAAGATTGTTTACTTTGAGAATCAACTGAGACTTTTCTCAAAACATTCCCTACTGTTTAAATTGCTTTACAGTCTATTCGTGCAAATGAAAATTCTTTTGCCTTTTGAACTAGATTTTCTTGATACTTATAAGTGTGCAAAATCAATCTAGACCTTACTTGATATCTCTTTTTATTTTGAAGAAAAAGTTCTAAATAGACTAAAAGGATCGAATTCTACAGCTGCTATTGTTTCTGAATCTCAGAGAGCCTTTTGTCCTTCAAATCATATCAAATTTCTCGAATTTGACGCACCGTGAATTTCTTTATAAATTTAGGGACTTTGTCTATCTATTTCATTGAGATATTATGAGTACCTGTACAACTTCATGCTTTCTACTCGAATGCTTACAAGAACCACTTTTTGTTTATCGAACTTTCTTATTTAAGTAAAAAAAAACAATTTAAAGAAAAAATAGAAAAAAAGTAATTTCGCATTGCTGGATTTTCCTTTTTTTTCGTTTGAAAGATTTCTTTATGTCTCGAGTTCGTTGATATTGAGAAAGTTATATAAAAATATTTCCTTCTATTGATAGATAAGATGTTTTTTTTGGGATTGCTGTTGATATATATACAATTTGGGATTTTTTTTTTTCGATGTCGATATGTTCATATTTTATATATTAATGCAAAAGATGATGAAGAATTTTTAAAATCGTAAAAATAAAGACATCGCTTTTTACGAAAATTAAAAATTTATTTAAAAATTCTCGATTTTTTGCATACCCATTTTTGGTCCACCGCCTAAATTTTTGGCATTAGCCGCGTTCATTCGGCGTATATTTGCATCCATACTGTTTGTGCTTGGTGCATTTGAGCCTATGATTTTTCCTGAACCTTGAGTCCCACTTCCTGGTCCAACTTGACCTTAAAAATAAAAGAGATAGTGTTAGGAAATGAAAAAATTACAAATGGCAGTGATGAAAGTATGTTTGAGGTGTCCTAAGCATCATGAATACAAAGAGCACATATGATATCATCAAATATGCTTCAAATTTTGCGCTACACCCCGATACATCCACCACTAAACCACATTTTATCATACACGAAAAAAATTCCATCACACATATAAATTTACCTGGTATCCGTGCAGGTCGAGCAGGCTCAACAGGTAATACTCGTCGTCTCTTCTTCGGTAATTTCGCACGAGCTTGTGTATGTGAATAATACATCGTAAAATTACTAACGATAACAGGAACGGGTAATGCAATCGTTAATACACCAGCCAGAGCACATAAAGCACCAACGAACATTCCAATGTATGTCTTGGGTGTCATATCACCATAACCAACAGTAGTCATTGTTACAAGAGCCCACCATAATCCAAGTGGAATGCTATTGAAATCATTATGCGGATTCGTTTGAATTCTCTCCGCATAATAAACAAGACTAGCAAATATAACGATACCTAATACTAAGAAAAACACTAAAAGAGTCAACTCCTTTGCTGATGCCCTGAATGTTTGTATTAAAATTTTCAAGCCAGATGAGTGACGTGTCAATTTGAATAACCTCATAATACGAATGATTGAGAAGAATTCTAGAATATCAGCATTTTCCATATTTGGAATAAGTTTTTGTAACATTAGATCACAACTGTAAAGAGATGAGATATAAAATTACATTGAATAATGAAACACATGAGATATAATAAATGAAAAAAAGAATACTCACAAGAAACTAAGTGTTGCAATGTAATCAATTATATTCACAGATGATATAATAAATCTCAATTTACTCGGCGATGATATAAATCGTATCTGGAAAATAAAATAAATTTAAAGTGTATAAATATATATGAGTGAGTAAGTACGTACTTGGTGGTCAATTTAATTTTTATTAAGTGCTCTAATAAGCAAGTAAGTAAGAAAATTTATTTCTATTGCGCATTTCTCTTCAAACATGGACATTTTAATCCTAAATTTGTCAATTTTATTAGTGAAAAAGAGAAACATTTGCCTTAAAAATTTAAAAAGCATCCTCATCACTAATGACAGCCGTACAATCAAAATGCGAAAATTTACTTAATTCAAAGCAGCCTTTGCGCTCACTGCCAAATCTGTGTCAAGAAGAAAGGAAAGGCATCCTTTTGGAAGAATAAAGAAGTAAACCGTACAATAGAAATTCATTACAATAGCTGTACGGAGTCGTAACAAAGAAGGATATACAGTCACAAAAGTAAAATGAACATTGGGTCAATTTTATCTTCAGAGACTGGAGCAGAAAAAATGCAGCAAATTAAATTTAAAGTTGTAGTTTGAGATTTTTATTAGAGCTTCAAATGCCATTGAATGGCATTGCTGTACAATAGTTTAAGTTCAAATATTCTGAGTTGAATATTTTACGAGCCATCAAACTTTTCTGGTTGAGGGGATTGCAGGATTGAATGGAATGAAATGTTTTTTTAGGTTATTGCTTAAATTTACAGCATAATATTCTTAATTATGCTCATTACTTTTTTTGAAATCAAGTTTTAACAATCGCATGGTAAGGAGAGGGTGAACAGTATTAATTCAGTCCTTTTGTGACTGGTTGCTCAGTATATTCTAAGGCCACGATTATCCTGGGCCTAGTACCCATGATACGTAAGGGTATGCTTTAACCTAGTGTTAAGTATAATCTGGATTAAGTCACTAAAGAGCGAATTCTAGTATGTTCCTGGCAAGTAAAGAATACTCAAGGTTTGGTGCACATTTGAGTTAACTCTTTGCTGAAAACTAGACTAATGTCCTTAAATACAAACGCACAGTGATTAAGATCCTTAGGCACACTACTCATCTTGAAAGATGTCTTAGCCAAGCAATCTACCCCTTAAAATATCTCGTCAAATTGAATCATGCAAAAGTTTCTCATTTTCAATAGAATAAATTAAATTTCATTTTTTAAACAAAATTTAAAGTTTTTTCTATTAAATTAAAATAATATTTTTCACTTACCATTATCTCGATTGTAAACCAAGCGTTACACACGCATTCGATATAGAAGAAGAACAGATGTGCATTTGTTTCCTCTTTGTCCAAATACCAATCTGATGTATGATTAACATTTTTCACAGATACATTCTTAATTACTGGCACTCGCATGTCCGGATGTGTTTTCAAACAAAATGATACAATCGATACACAAATAAAAAATACGGAAATTATGCCTACAACCTGGAAATAAAAATTAATGGATAGGAACTGGTCAGTTAATGAACCGAAATTTGCGGATATTAAAAACCATAATTTACTTACCTTTGCAGCATTGCTACTGTATGGCTCATCAAATAAGGACCATATTTGCGGCTTCATATGTTGCCACCAGCTCACGTGACCTTTCACAAAAGCGTCTTCATATCCAAATTTTCTAGCTACTTCTTCTTCGGAAGGTTTATCGGTATCTAAATCTAATCTATCTAAAACTGCTAGTGTTTCTTGAGTATTTCGATGCTGTTTTTGGTGTGACGTGAAATAAAAGTAAATGGAAAAAGAAGAAAATTAAATAAAAATGATTTTTGTCTGTAAGAGTTTTTTTGCTCGAAAATTATCTGGAACTTTTCCATCACGGAACATGAATCAACTCAACATTTTCTAAATGGGTGTATTTACAGTTACAGAAAATATGCTAATTTTCCTACAAAGATTATCTTTGAAAATTTTGTGATTTTTTTTTTTCATTTGAACATTTTCGAGTATGTGATTGTCAGGGATGAAGTTTTGGGGAAGTCTAGACAACTACCTGCCTTTATGGTGACAAAGAAACTTAAATATCAAAAGTAGAAGTCCATGAAGAATTAAAAATGAATCTTAGTATTGCACTTTTGAACCCCCTCCCCCCTAAAATTAACTTCCAGCTTCATCTCTGAATCACAAATATCCTAACATTTTATGAGGAGTTTGTGGTCCTAAAAGCACATTAGGCAGATCGAAAAACTTTAATGTATTTAGATTTTATTTTATTTTTCAAAGGAACTATAAACCTTTTCTGTTCCTTTTTTAATTAAACCCTTTCAGCTTTAGATTAAATGTTTATGGTACGAAATCACAATTTACATTAACATGAAACGTAAGTAAATATGGAATTTTTACAGCTCTGTTATAAAAGTCTCATAAATCTCCTTCATGCTCATTTTATGAAAAATTGAAAGGAAATAATCAACAAATTTCGTAATGAATAATAAATTTAATGTCGTCTGTATTTATCATTGAGATTTTCTTCTTTTTCTGCACGTATTTCTACCGTATTAGTTTGTAGTTGTTTGGAATAATTAATGAATGACAAGAAAGCATGACTAGAGCTTTGCTTCTTACTTCTTTTTGGATATAAATTGACATTTTGGGTGGGCTTTTTTAACGGTTGGAATTACCGAGGAATTAAAGTTATCTAAGATTTTTATGGTGCTCTAAGGCAGGAATCACTGAATAGTTTGTGTGGGTTTAGTCTAAGAGAATGGTTATCCTAAGATTTTTGGTACCCGAATCTAGTTTGAACCCCTTAATATGCATCATTGATAGTATTCGATAACTTTCAAGTTATTGGATCTTAAATTGTGAGCAACTAGGTATCAAAATCGCTAATTAATGAATTAGTTGATCAGACCCATTGCCAATTCAATTCTTATCGCGAACATAAAGAGTAAACTATACCTAAAATATCTAGAAACTCTTCAAACTGAGTTCCAATAATCAACAAGCCTAAACTTACATCTGCCACAAAGTAAACACACAATAACTCTCGAATTCTTTATTTTCTCTTCTACACGAAGAAGTTAATAACAGATAATGCATAAAAAATTCATCATTCTTACCTGTGTATATGTCATCCAACAACATGGTTCAACTTGATTCGAATCAAGCCCCCAGAAAGCCAACTCCTCCTCGAACAAAGGTCCACAGACATCAGTTGGATAGTGTAATTTTCCAGTTCTAAAAATAAACAATTCATCATCAGTCAGAGAGCCAGTCGGCACATACAAATTATTTCTCTTTTTTTCTTCTTTTATTTGTATCAAAACAATATACAAGTTTTAATATCCAACGAGAAAAAAAAATAAATAAAACAAGAAGGAATAAAATGTATACGATAAGTTGAGAATACAACTTGAGAAGAGAAAAGCTCTCAACTTAATTGTTGCTACTTAAGTGAATGGTGTGTTGAAGAGGAAGCGCTATTTGAATATTAAAAGCCAATTGATATATGCTGTAATATTTGAGTTATTGGAAAACTGTTTGTTGTCAAGATATGGCTATCAATTAGAGTGTGAAGATTGGTTCAATGACAGGAGTTTGAAATTTTTGCGACTAAGATTTCTTTGATCGTTTTTCGAAGTTATTATATTCGTAAAGGAAATTCATAGATTGCAGAGTTATGAACTATTTTTAAAGTTTGCTACTTTAGCAATTTTAAATATCAGAATCTTGGTACAATTGATTATTAAGTATTGTTTAAAACTTGAATAATGAAATAAGAAACTTAAAATTGAAATTGATAAAAATCTTAAATCTTAATCAATATCTGAAATATTTCGATTTTCGATCTTCATCTTCTTTGTTCTCGCATTTAGAGTCATTTTAAAAATTTATGGATTCGATGGAATTAGATTGAATGATATTGAGTAATTTTGATTTCGTTATAGTATTGTGCTTCATTTTATTATCTCCACTGCTAACATTAATTTGTATCATTAGTGATTTACTGCTGCCAAATTTACACATTTTCTAAAAACTTGGAAATAACAAGAAAAACCTATTCTTCGGTTCTTCCTGACCTTAAATCTTAATTACATCTAATTAGCCAATTAATTAACTCCAAAATTGCAAATACAAAGCGATTTGACCTCTAATCGAGGAGTCGTGCAAAAACTTCATCCTTGTCTTAAACATCACGTCTTAAAAGAATCCTATGACAACAAGAATTCTCAAAATTCAAGCTTCAACAAATCAAATTAATGAATTTTTGTTGAAAAAGAATTCCAATTTTAAGAATAAAAAAGTAAAAAAAATCTCATCAAACAGTCCTCTTCAAATCTTCATTTAAGCATAAAGAAAAATCAATAGAAAGTCAAGAAATAAAACATGTACCTGTAATAATTGAGCACTTGTGCAAAAACGCCTGGATGACGATCAAAGAAATATTCATTCAAAATTGGATCATAATTTGCAAGTGCTTCAGTGAGACGAGAGAGTCGAGTGGCAGGTATTTTTTTCAAGGTCGCCTTGTACGTTTCATGACGGATACCACCGACATTGAGGACAACCCGATTTTCAGAATCCATGTTTATTAAATTCATGTTGTCTACAACAACTTTGTTTGTGTTTGTTTTTTGATCGGAAGGAGAGGAAATAAAATTTGCGATTAATTACTATTCGGTAGCTGTAAATCAACTCTTGTCTTACCAATTGAATTATTGATTACTGTGCATTGAGCACAGTATCAAATAACGATTTGAAGAAAATAATTTTTCTTCTCCTCGTTCAAATGAAATTTTTTATTTTTCTTCCTTGCGATGTGAATTTTTCTTATTCTTGTCGGTTTTTCTTTAATTGCTAGCAGAAGAGCAATATCTTACATTTATTGTACTTTTATTCTTTAAAAGTAGCATCTTTTCTCGTTTTATTTGAACGCCTAGATTGAGTATTAAAAGAATATTTTTAGCTCCTAGATCGTTCAAGCTCATCAAATTGAAAGCAATTTTACAGAACTTTGTGAATTCTTTTCAGCATTTCTTCAGTCAATAATGTTCAATTTTCAAAACCCAATAAATTTGTCGGAATCAATTCTATTTTTAATCTACTAAGATGCTATAATATTCATTACTTAAAAATTCTCGGAAATTTGAGGGAATTCTATTGGAAATCCTACAAATTTTTAATGATTTTTAAATTTTAATAACATTAAGCACATGACTCAGATTTTAATAAATCACAAAAAAACACAACTTGAATCTCTTTGGCTGTAATGATCACTAAGTCATATGATTCGAAATCTACTAAAATTTTAATTTTATTATCGCATTTAAATGCATGTGTAGGAGGCTTGAATCATATGATTTGCTTTAAATCTTTCTACAATGTTTTGTACATTTAAATGCGAATTTATGAATGACTTAATTCGATGGAAATTAGATTAATTTTTGAATGAACATGAGTTGTTGAAATTTAAGTTTTTTATAAATAATAATTTTTGGAATTGGATTTGTAAGTCACAAAATCGTCAAATTCAAACGAAATCAACTTTAAATTTAAGTGCAAGTTCCTGTTAAAGCAACACAAAGGTTTCATATAAAAGCGATGCATGATTTTTTGCCAATTTTGTGATTCTAAAGCAAAATCTAATTAAGATTTAAAGAAAGAATAATATTTTGGGTAGCACAAGTCGTCTAACCTTCATCTAAAGATAATGGTTGTAATTCATTAAATATCTAGACGGCAGTCATTGCACATTTACAATCTCTAGACCAATATAAGATCAATACTAGTTTCATTTTATATAACACAAACTTCAATAATTTTCATGGAATTGTTCTTTAAGGGGCCGTTCACTTATGATGTCCAGGGGGGGGGGGGTGGTCAGCAAGAAAAGAACAATAGAAATTCCTGGAAATGTTGTTCTTTTTTGAAAAATGACCGTTAATTTCGGACATCATAAGTGAACGACCCTTAATGTTCAAACTTGGTTCAAACATGCTTAATAATCAGTCTGAATCTTAATCCAAGTGTCTGCCTAGCTAAACACCGTTGTGTAATGATAAACCACAAAATCTTCTTGAAATTGAAAAGTTTGTCTTCTTCAGAATAAATTTATGAGTTTCTGTTATGCAGCTCATTCTGACAATTTCTATAAGACATTTCTGCACAGTCTTACAAAAAAAAATATTTTTAATTAAGAAAATGTACTGCTGACCTAAATTTGTTAAGTAGACACTGGCAAAAAAGCAAGAAAATTTTCTTTAAATTCTAACTTAACCGTCAGATTTGACATTGATTACATTACTTGAATAATCCTTAAGCTTCAATGAAATATTAATAGGAGCGTAATTCATGAGTAAATCTTCTCATTATTTATTGCAATCGGGTCTTAATGCTATGATACCTTTAATACGTCAGAAGCAACCCGAGATGAACTTAATGGAAATCTTATAAGATAAAGTCTTTCTTGGTTGGTAGATGACATTTATGGTAATCCATAAGTTCCTTTGATATCAATCTTTCTGGAGAATTCTTAAAATTCATCAAATTTCCATGAATTCAAATCAAATCCCCCACAAATAAATTCAAATTCCATTTTAATGGATATTAATCACAATCCAGATTGCGTCAACAAAAAAAAGTCTCAACGATTTAATTCTCAATAATCGCGTATGATTAATTGTAAATTTTCCAAAGAATTTCTTATAGTTTACGTCTATAAGAAAAAGTTCCAAAGAGCTTTAAATCTCAATGAAAATTTCACAAAAATAATAAATCTCTCAGAATTGACACATCCTTCAGTACCTTAAAAAAGCAATTAAAGTTGACTGAAAGAGGACTTTACAAGGTAGGAACAAGCAGGATTAATATTAATTAATCTGAAAATAAATGTCGACTGATCAGGATTATAAAGGATTTACTCAAGTGTCCGCGCTTTTGAAAGCTTTAATTGATATATTCCAGAGTCTAGAAACTTCAACAAATGTCACTTCCCAGCACGTCCGTATAGTACAAATAATTATATTACTAAATCAGTTTTCCATGCTGTTCAGTCAATTCGTTGCCATGAATAGCATTTCCTGAATGAATTTCTCATCTTGTTAAGGCAATTGAGTAAGAGCATTAAGACTTAATACACCCAAGTTATCAAAGCAAGTAACAACAAAAAAAAAATTTTCAAAGAAATTAAATCCATTCAGGTTCCTTTCTTTTGTAAGATTACTACAGCTGGCCCCCGGTAAGAAGTAAAATACAATGCCAAACATCCCCAAAAAATTTCATCATTGAATTTTAATAAAGTATCGAAATAAAATTAACTTCCAAAAAGAGCCATTGTTGGGACTGTGAAGAGAACTGTGTATTCATTTAAGACTCGTAAACCAAAAAAGGTTGAATAATACCTGGATTAAGAAGAAAGATGTCAACCTCCTACATTCAGTCATAAAATGAAAGCGTTTCATTATTTTCTCAACATTTATTATTACAGATGAAATGAAGGTTTCATTTTATATTCTATTTTTTATTTTCTGTATAGTCACTAGCCTCAATATGTCTCCATACTCGGTCAATTATAGAAAAAGCCGACTAACGCTAATTAATGAAATCATTTGTAGGAATTTCCTTTCTCTTTTTGGGGTTCGTTTGTAAATGATGTCTGGTAGATATAATGTTTAGATGCTTTGTTCTTCTTTTGATAGATCTTGAAATTTTCAATAAGCAGAAACATGGATCAGAGGGGTTCTTGGTCAACCGTAGATATTTGATTCAATCCCGAGACTTTGAAAGAGCTAAGTGCAATAATTCCTTTCCTATTCCACCAAACTTAATGAATTAACGACCCCTTATCTCCTCTTTATTCCTTCATCTTCATCAAATCTATAAAAACTGAGTGAGAAACTTGTTATTTTTTCTTTTTCCTACATGCGATCATATGGTTATTTTTTAAATCTTTTTTTAGAATTTGCTTTGAGAATCACCAATAATGTTTATTTAAACCTTTTAATAAAATTGCAGCGATCTCATTCCATTCCACTCTTATTTTTATTTCTCGTAATGTATATACATTTTGGTATGTTTAAATAAACGGAATGAGTAAAACGACTCGAATTACACAATTTTTTTTATCCATTATGAAATATATCATGAACTTCCAACGATTATGATGATTATTATACTATGAGTTGGTTATTAATAGCAATCCTATTAACATCAACGTAAACAAACGAGAGCAAAAAAAAAATATTATCTAAAAAAATTACAAACAAGTTGAATGATGCATGAACTTGAAGTCACACGAGGGAGACGCATAGATATACGATAGCAATTCTTAGAAAGCGATTCCGGAAGTCAACCATAAATATCTTTATCGTATGAGTCGTAAGTCTTTAGGGAAAATTAATATTTCATCGACCATGTGCCAATATAAAGTAAATAGTATGGAATAGAAAGTTCTCTTATTTTTATTGTTTGTGGAAAAAAGTTTGAAGAGTTAAACGATTACATTTTACGTCTGTTAGGTTCAATTTGCTTTTGGGTTATGAAATCAGGCTCAGGAAATTTTGAGAAATATGATTCAAGTCGTGACTAATGAAGCATTCACCGAAAAAATGAAAAGATTTTGATATCGAGTTATGCAATTTATGAAATCAATATCGATATCACTGGAAAATTTTCTTATGAGATTTATATTTCAGCATTTCCGACAAAATCAAATTTGAATTGTATCATAACAGAGATTTTAGTTATCTAAATAGCTAGGTTATGTACTACATAATTTTATTCGCTCTTTTCATTAAGTTACACAATTAAGCTTCTTTTTTCGTGTGAATCGTTCTAAATTTTCACACCTAAAATGATGATGATGTATGAAATGATAGCAATTAGCGCTTCTTAGATGAACAACGGGACTGTGTCGGCAGATATTTCATTAGTTCATTATTTTTTCCGCTCACTTTATGCTTAAGGTGTGTTTGGACTGAAAGCTGACAAGAGATGGTCCTTCTTGAATATTGTTTGGGTTTTTTGTTGATTAATGAAGTTAACTGTAAGTATTTAATTGGTCTAGATGTCAACTGGATCTTATTGTTATGACAAATGTTGGTCTGGATGTTTACTGGATCTTATTATTTTGATCAATGAATTGCATAACTATTTAGTCATCATGATAAACGAGGAACAACTTCACAATCACTACAAATTGCTCTGGAAAAACATCTTAAAAATCTCTTGATAAACACCCATTTATCTAAATCTTATTTTTCTCTCTTAACCTTGACACATAACTCATCATTTTAGAAAATGATTTTTCTATTCATCTTCACGACAAATGTCTTCAGGAAACTACCTGACATTTATGAGATGAGAAATTGTGTAACATTCCGCATCCTGATGTAATCCCGTATAAACAAACTAGAAATCTTTCTTCTTTTAAATCTTTTAAATGTCAATCAATTGTGAGTTCAATTGAATTTTATATGAAGACCTGCCTCAGACAACACGAGCGATTGATGAAAGAAAAAATCTGCCACATCCTGTGGAGGAACTCGCATCAATGAGAGCACAAATCGGAAAAGAAGAAAAGGAAAAAAAAAGTTTATGAGAAACAATGAGTCTCGTT